AAAAAAAAAAAAAAAAAAAAGCAATGCCAACCAGGGCAGAGTGGAAAACGTCCATAGTAAGAGCTGGAACGCTCGATTCAGTTAGACACAGCTGCCCATGCAATTGTGCCCCGAGTGGGATCCGATGTCCGTTCCTCTCTGCGGTCAGAGTGCAGACAGCGTGACAGCCAGTGTGCCGGGGCGAGCTGCCTGCTGAGCCTCAGGGCAGCTGCCACACGATGCCATGGTGAGCCTCAAGGGAGGCGCTAACATCCACCGCTGATTCCGCAGCACTGCCAGCACTCTCCTGTGCCATTCACTACTCAACACATAGCACCCGAGAGACCCAGGGAGACGGGGCCAGCCTGTGGGTGTCCGGGGAAGCAGCATAACACAGGCTGCAGCAGGAGAGCAGCCCAGGCAGGGCTGGAGGGCAGTGGGACACCGGCACAGGAGAGACAAAGCCTGGACTGTTTCTAAGTGCACACAGCGGCTCTGGCCGGCAACGGGGAACAGAGTGTGGGACACAGGACGGGAGGAAAGGGAGGCACAGCCACTAGGGTTGTTGATGACGTGGCCACTGGATAACAGGAGGAGAGGGTTAGATGCGAACAGAGGGAGGAGGTCCTGCACTCAGGAATTCAGGGCTGTCCTGTGCAGAATTCAGCACTGGCACTCCACACACGAGCGCCAACTTATTTGTTAACCCACCCTCCTCTGCGAGGACCCTTCCTACTTCCTTTCTTGTGCTTCCTGGAATCCACATAAACGTGTATGCCCATACAAACATCTGTACCCAAGCCCCTCTATCTGGGTCTGATTTGCAGGGAACCCAAACCAAGACACCCAGAGAGGCTAGAAGCCGCAGGTGCAGCTAAGGGACTGAGGGAAGGCTGAGCCACAAGAGACTGCCACGTCCCCAGACATGAGCCACGCTGCTCCTCGGACCACACACGTCGTTCTCAGTGCTTGCTGGTTAGAAAGATTTCTTCCTTCTCCATAGCCCTGGTTTCACTCTAAGTAACTGCTTCTGATGTCTTGGAGCACAGGCGTTTTTCTTCTCTGAACAGAAACATATGGGAACCAGGGAATAACAGAGTCACAAAGAGTTAGGCTACAGATAAATACTGTCCTTGGACGTTCTGGGGGTTCAAACCATTCCTTGGCTCTGACCTCTACAGAGAGCATCAGCGAGCCTACCCCCTGGAGAAGCGGCTCCGGATGTCCAGGCCTTGACGCGCCAGGGCACCAGAGCTGCACAGTTATTAGTTTCCACTCCTCCCGGGCAAACTAATGGTATGCTCCAAGTCCCTCATGTGCAAACATCTTCTGTGCACTCAGGACCTATCCAACCCTTGGAAGATAGGTGTTATCACTGTCCTCGCTGTACAGACAAGGAAACTGAGGCAAAGAAGGCAAGGCACCTGCTGGAGATCCCACAGACAAGCAGTAGAGCATGCTCAGAGGCAGAGCTCTTAACCCTCCACCGCACTGCCTGGTTTCCTCTTCATGTAACAGTCAGAGACACATCACCATCCCTGTTTGATAAGCTGGGAAAATGAGCAATTGAAAGGTCGACTATTTGCCTCTGGCCACCGAGGCAGCTGTAGTCCCAGAGTCTGGGCTCCTGAAGGCATCACACTACGTGTGCCACGTGGCCAGGATCTGCTCAGAACGTTCTACAAGTCTGCTGACAGCAGGGCGTCACCCCAAGGAGCACGGCCTACCTCTTGGAGTGGAAGGTCCTGCACAGGAATAGGCTAAGGTAATCTGTTGGCACAGTCCAGTGTGCGCGGGCGGCAGAGAGGCTGCAGAGGGAGAGATGCAGACTGGTGAGGCCACCAGATCCCGAGGAGACTGTGGGCAGGAGAGGAATCATGGAGAGAAAGACAAGGGCAGTAAAGGCAAGGTCACAGGGACAAGACAGAGCCTGAGGCAACGCAGGAACTGCAGGAGGGCTGGGTCGGCTGGAGCGAAGGGGAGGTGCAGGGAGGAGAAGGCCCTGAGGCTGGCGAGGCAGTTGGAGCAAGGGCCTCCAGTGAGGAGAAGCAGGAATGACAGCTTCTAGCCCTAGACAGGGGAGAGGGGCTGCTGGAGAAGGTGTGGGCTTCTCCTTCAGGTAAGGTCCTTGCTTTGAATTTAATTATTAGGCCGGAAGACAATGGTCCCTTTCCTAGGCTGCTGCAAACAATTAACACTGCATTCCCACTCTTTAACCAAGCAGATGCATGTATCTATTGAGTTCAGCAACTTAGCTAAAACATAAACTGCTATGGTGAGAACACAGGCAAAACCAGAACAGGACAGGACCGCAGCTGCACATCAAGAGATGACCCAGCAAGCCTGTGGAGGGCTGGTGCAGTGCAGATGGGATCTCAGGGCCTTTCCACTTCTCTGCGCGGCAGCCCCAGCAGAGAGCGGTTTCGCCACTTGGGTATACTTTCTCCTTGGTGCAGTTCCAGGGTCCAGAACCAGGGATTTTCATCTTCCTGCAGGTTTAACGGGAGAGACGGCACCCCGGCTTACTGAAGACGGTGCACCTCAGGCATAACCGCAGGTCGCCACAGTTGACCACGGCCCCTCCCATCTCCACTGTTCACGTCACCCTCTTGAAAACACACACGTGCTGGCAGGGTAGACGGCAGCACAAAAATCAGGGTGTCCTAAAAGGAAAGTGGTGGGATGTGGAAGAAAAGGCTTGCTCTGAGCAGCACGATGAGCTGAGAGGAACCTCCCGGAAGCCACACTCTGACACAGCTGGCCGGCTGACCCCTTGGATCCCCCTCATCACGCTCCCACACGGCCAGGACTGTCTATTTCGTGTTGCTTCCCAAAATCTCAAAGCAGCAGATTCTATGGCTAACAGTCAAGGGAGACAGGACCGTTCCACAGAAAGGTCTTTCCAACAGACTACCTGCCGCTGGTACGTGGCCTCCCCAAGTGCCAGTCTCCATCACAACCAATGGGGCCGACACTCCCTGCATCACAGGGACCTTCCTGGAGGGCCTGGCAAAGCAACACGGGCAAGAGCCTTATCCACAGGGCACAACGCCTGGCTGGCACACGCTTCACTTCCACCTCTCCTCCCTGTGCAGTGGGTGTTGTGCAGGGAGGCGAGCAAGCTGGCCACCTCGGACAACGTGACGATGCTGGATGCAGAGTGCTGGGGGGACACTGACTGCAGAAAGCTCTGGCGGAGGCTGGCGGGGGGTGGGGCTGTGCTTGGTGGGGACACCAGGGAAGGCCTGAGCCTCCCACTTCACAGTTACAGAAGGCCAAAGGCTCCGTCCTCCACATTCTACTGCAGGCACGTCAGCAGCGCCTCTCTGATCTTCCGCAGGCTTAACAACTCCCAGAGGCTCGGTCCCTAGAATGACCCCAAGACAGACCTACAGCCGCATCCAGAAAATTACTCCACACCATCACCTCAGTTCTTCCGGAGTTCACCTCAGTTCTGAACACTTGGGGTGGGCGCCCGGACCTTAACATACACTCATGTAACCCGGTATCGTCTTCCTTATGTGAGGCTGGATCAGCTGTAGGGAATAAAGATTTTTGAGGGGATGGAGAGAAGTAGCAATCGTGGCACAAAGGGCATTCTGGGGACAGAAGCAGAAGAAAGTGAGGCAAAGCCACTCAATGCAAGGACACAGGGGAGGGAGGGAGAGACAAGAAAGGGGCCAGAATGTTCTACCTATTTGCAGGTTTCAAGGGTAAAATTCAGGCTGGTGTCACAGCTAAGGAGTACTATAGATAAGCTCCTCTCTAGGACTGGCTCAAGAAACTCTAACAGTTCTACAGGAAAATGTCTCCCCACCCTGAATATTACCCCAAACTGAAGCCTGGGATACTGGCCTTTGGCGTGCTGGACACCACTTCCGTGACACAGAAGGAGTGGACAGGCGCATGGCACAGGCAGCACCCAGCTGCACACGCAGAGCACCCACCTTTACTCCAGACAGAAACACACACCCTCGCCTCCGAATTCGGCCCTCACTGTTCAGGGGGAACAGGATGTTGGCCATGAGTCTAGCCTCATCATCACACTTGTTGATGAAGCAGACATCCGGAGAGCATCTACTGAGCCTCAGATTTCAAAGGGAGGCCAGGTGACCCAATCCTTGGGCAGGAGTCGGCATCAGGTTACTACCTGTATCCACTCTGTCCCCTGCCCTGCGGATGTGGCTCAAGGGTGTGTTCTCTGGGTGACTGCCGTCGATGGAGCGCACAGGTCAGGCCTTCTCCACACTGCAGCAGAGCGGCCCCACCACAGCCCACGCGGCTCTGTTCTGGCCACCAGCAGCAGCTCTGGAGCACGGCCTGACACAGCAGGCGCATGCCCAATGCTGGGCCGATGAGAACCTTCCTCTCTGGAATATGGGTCCCCAGGAGGATGACAAAGGCCACAGACGAATGGGGCCGACTCAGTTCAGCAGCAGTCTGAAGACCAACTGCTGGTCCTGACACAAACTCCTGGAATCATTTTTTTTAAAAGCGCTCCCTTAACCTCTAAGAATAACCTTGGGTTTTATTTTTATTCTTTTATATTTTGGTACCAAGGATCAAACTCAGGACCTTGCGCTTGTGAGGCAGGCAGCAGCACCACTGAGCTAAATCCCTGGCCCCAACCTTGGGCTTTTATGACAAATTCCTTTTTCAATTCAAGCCAGCCAGCCGGTTTCTGTTCTCCTTCCTACAGAACCCTAACTAACCCGTTTCCACGTGGCCTTCACCCTTCCTGTCACGCCTTCCAAACCCTCCTTTAATGCTGCTGCTAGAGCGAACTGCCTGAAGTGAAGCTCTGGCCAGGCCTCCCACACACAGCCAGCACTGCTATAACTGATTCAGCTTCTTCACCACACGCTTCTCCTGTGCACGGTGTGGTGAAACCCATCTGAAATACGGAGCGCTCAAACAAAGCTCCCGCTTTGTAGGGAGCTAAATTAATGATAAACAGGAAAACAAATGGATAAAAAGCTAACTTCCAAAGTGCTAAGTGCCCTGATAGGAATAAAGTCTGCAGAGGGCAGTCAGGAAAGGCCTTGTTGCAATTTTTTAGTGGAGACCTAAGACCCTGAATGAACAGAGAGGGCCTGTGCCCTGGTTAAAAACGAAACAGCAATACCAATGGCTCTCCATTAGGCTAAAATGCAAACATTTAAAAACATGAACTCCAAGCTCTATTAAAACCAGCTTTCAAACTACCAGTGCTTTTTTCAAGTCTTTCCCTTAGCTACTCCTTGTGATAATACCCTGCTTCTGATAATCCGTCCCTTCCCACCTTACTTGTTCCATTACCAGATCCTAGGTCACGCCTAACTCCTCCCCAGCTCACCTCAAGTTCCAAGTCCTCCAGGAAGCCTTCTAGCAGGGCTGGGTTGTGGCCCCAGCCCAGACCCATTCACATGCCCAAGTCCTAACCCCACACCTCAGAACACAATGATATTTGGTAATGAGGTCTTCACAGAGATTATTTAGCTAAAACAAGACAACTAAGTTAAAAATGTGCCCTAGTCCAACATAACCGGTGTCCTGAAGAGGGGATCAGAACAGAGGGCCAAGCGTATGAAGACACAGAGAGGCCACCTGCAAGCCAAGCAGAAAGGCCAGAGGAGGAACCAGCCAGCCGGCCTCCTAATCCACCTTCCTTGACTACTTCAGCTGAAAATGAACAAACACTTCTTCCCAGTTTCCCTACCATCTCCAGCAGGCACCATTACACAGAGCTTCCTCCCCGGCTTATGCTGCTCCTCACCATTGGGGCTCCTCACCAGGACTCTGAACTATTCAAGGACCGATGGAGTATTTACTATCTCCTGACAGTCTTCACAGTGCCCAGAGTGCTGTGGTGCACAACAATGTGTACCGGTTGATTTTTCTGTCCCCTCTACTCCAGTTAAATGCAAGAGTGGAAAACATGCCTTTTCATTGTTTTCTTCAAGTAAAGCTGGTCACATCTCTGCTCTAATTTAGAACACTATTCTCTTCACTTCCAGAGAAAAACCCCAAGCTGGAGACTGACAAAGCTCCACTCTGTCTCAGTTCACCCCTACACCTTACGGGCACTCCTTACCATCTGCCCTACCAACTTGCACACCCAGTTCTGCCACCTAAAATAGCTTCTCTACCTCGCCTGACTTGCCTTCTGTAGAAAGATCCAGCTGAAACACCAGGAGCTCTACAAAGATTCTACGGCTTGGGTTGGCCAGCAGTGGTCACCTGCATGGCTACAATGCCCCATCTTTCGGCTGTAACTACTCAGCTATTCCAGTGGTCTGCCCAGGCTGTCTCCCTTGGGAGACTCCCTGGAAGGAAGAGCTCCATGTTTCCAAACCCAGCTCGCCCCTGGCAGGTGTCCACTGCAGTGAGAGGGAAATCAAGGGCCTTGCTATTTCTCACCTGTTACAGAGCTGGCGCCCAGCCTCTCTGCTTTGTCTGTGTGCTTCTACAGCTGTCCTAACCCCCAGTCGATGATGACTGTCACATCCATCTCTGTTGACCAGACCTGTCACAGGATACGTCACAGGTCCAGCACAGTGGTCAGGATCCACACCTTTACTTCCCCATCCTTACCCCCGCTTGTCTCGGTTGACAGCTAGGTCTCCTGGGCCAGAGACTCCACCTTCCCCTTTGGCCAATCATTGCGACATATACCAAGCCCCAGGACAATGTCAGCGTCTGCCTGCACCACCCCCACAGACTTTGAGGGCAACCAAAATTGTCTCCACGGCCACCTCCTTCTACTCTAGAGACATCCTTGATAACCTAATCCCTCTTCTGTTACTAGTGTACACATATATTTCCTAACACAAGATACTATAAATTCCTTGGGGGAGAGCTTATATTTTCTTCAACTTTCACAGAATGAAGCACACTACACTTGCAATAGTACCAAAAGGAAGGACGAAGTAAGCAAACAAGTTACTTTTAAGTTAGCCAATGGTCGTATCTTTTTTTGCTTGAACATCAACATTAAAAGGTAAAGTTAACCTATTTTCTATTTGTCATGAGAGGTGGAGGCAGGACTTACTCCCTTCAGCCCCAGAGAGTAAGTTTTAAAACCTGATTTTCAAGAAATCTTAAAATGGATGAACCCACTTGTCCTCTTAAGCGAGGGAGGAGGAACTGACTACAAACTGGGTAACTGATGACTCAGGGTCATGCTGATGAACAATCGCCGGACTATGCTGTAACACACATGCCTTCAGATGCTAGAGGCCACGGGCAGGGAGCCCGCGCTCCGCAGGAAAAGTCTCAGGTTGGGCGAAGGCTCCCAGCCGCTCTGGGTCACCACCATCCGACACTTGTCCTAACCCCTCAACCGTGCTTCCCGGGGGAGGCTGGGCCACGGGGTTCCCCGGGGACTCCGAGTACACGGGCTGTCTCTGACGCCAGGTGCGGTCCCTGCACGCAGCGGATGCGCTCCGGGAGCCCGGGGCCGAGGCTGCAAGGAAGACCCCGACAGGGTGCGGCGTCCCGACCCGCTCC